AGAGTAGAGGAAATATGTCAGGGACCTCAAGTATAAGGCCAGGAGAGCTCACRTGTTGGAGGGGCAGAGAGTGGCCTTTCTCCCTCGTCATCAGAATTAACTCACAGATGACTTGTAGAGTCTAAAGGAGAACTACTTGTTTCATCTAGTGCAAGGTTGAATTTTAGCTACTGAAGGAGAAATTGGTGCTGTATTGCTGGGAGCTTCAGAAGAATCAGATGTAGACAGAGCAATGGAAGAATGAGAAAGGAGCCAAATCATGCAAACACTGAAATTCTGGTTCCGAGTCAAGCTTTGTTTTTGTTTTCTTTTTCATGCCATACCTTAAACTTGCAAGTATTTCTGAGAACAAAGAAATTAATTGAACAATTGGGTGTTCCTCTAGGTACCATTGGATACCTTTCAGTGTAATTTCATGCTGAAAAGCGAGGAAACTTTCGTTTGATGGAAAACAGGCAAAAGAGAGAGTTAACATCATAAGTGAAAGAAACGTACTCCCTCTTAGCTATGGTATTGGGCTCCTGCCCTCTGGCTCTGAGTGTTGGAGTGTGATGCTTCCCCCCACCACTTTCTTCTTAGTGTGCCCCAGGCAAATAGCACAGGAAACCACTGGTTCCCAAATGCCACTGATGATGAGGGAAGAACTGGATCAGAATTTTTTGTACTTCCTTGAAATGAGTTGTCCTACAATTGACCTGCAAGCCTAGAGTTTTAGTGAAAACTGTGGTTTCCCCAGCAGATAATGTGATATAAAGAATGGCCAGGTTGTTACATGTTACTTAAACATTTTTTTTTTTTTTGCCATCACATTTCTTGGCTTAAGCCAATAATTGTGACTGAATATGTAATTTGAAATGACTTTTCATTATATTATCACTGCTTTGCTGCCCTGTGAGCAGTCTGTCCCACCCATAGTAATTTTACTAGTTCATACCATGAGATACCATGCTGGTATCCTTACCAAGAGCTTATCATTGATTTATTACTGAGCAGCCTTTTATGACTGGATGGATCTTTCACATGGGCCCCGTATTTCTTCTGTGCCTTTTCCATTTTATTAGGGTGATGAGGAAGAGGTCTGTTAGTGCTCTTGGTAGAACTAGCCTATAGGCTGTTTCGTCCTGTTGAGTTTAACAGAGGTAGTACTGAGCTGAGACAGGCTAACTGTAGTATTTAAAGCACAGCACTGAGAAGTTTCATTTTAAATGAAAAGAGGTCACTTGGTATTCACTCACTGCAAAGCCAGGACATCTAGCAGTCTTGTCACACTAATGCGGGTATGTAGAGGTTACTGCAGTTCCTCGATCCTTCTTGTTTAAACAAGATGTAGTCCAAAGCTAATCAAGGGTAAGGATCTTTGCTGTTTTTGAAACTGGTGCAAAAATCAAGTGAGTGTGGGTTTGTGGTGTTTTTATAGTGTGAAAAGCATATCCGGAGCTGTTTGACCCAACAGTTCCACATAGCCAGAGCTGCTGGTTTGGTCTTGCTAATTCTGGAATTTYTTCTCTACCCCCTCAAAAAAAAAAAGCCTTTTTTTTCTTTAATCCTTTTTTTTTTTTTTTTCTCTCACAGTGCATAAAATCCAAGAATTTCCTTATTTTTCATCATTTGATTTGGAACTGGAAGGAACTCACTGTGTCCTCAGAATGATGAGAGCAGAGTGCTCATTTATCACAGCCCAGCAACAAACAAAGCAAGAGCAGAGCAGCACAGGCATAATTAATGAGGAATAAATGGAGTTTGTGGCTTGATGTTGATGGATACAGAATGTGCCACAAAAAAGGGGGAGGAGGGAGAAAGCTTTGAACATAAAACCAATCTCACAGGATCTGCAGTATGGTAATGCCAGGGATTAAATTCAAGATAAGATTCACCTATCCTGATGGTCTTAATATACCAGTAGCTGTACTGTTGCAGCAGTGGAGAACTTGGTTACTTCTTGGGCATGTTTGTGGGGTTTTAGGGGAGGAGAAGGACAGAGGTGAGGATTTTGGGGGTTGGTTTGTTTTTCTCCTTGCCAGGGTTAAGSTGGGCACTAATGTTATTGCAGGTGGTGCAACAGCAGAAGTCAATGCTGAGAAGGAGTTGGTCTATACTGAAATAGCATGTGCTCATCTGAGCTGTCTTCAGCTTCCATCCACCAAGACAAGTCATGTTGGCAGACAAGCTCCTTCTGCTTGTACAGCTGCAAGCCTACTGCAGCTTGACATACAACTGAGYCTGGGGCTACAGGCAGCATCTCACCTATTCTGACTCTAGCACTCCTTGGGGAAGGAGGAGTAAAATCAAATTCCTCTTGATTGCCTCAATCAAAAACACTTCATAAAGGATCCATGAAAATGAACTTCTAAAAAAGTATGCCTTTTACCTGGAAAATGTTTCTCTTGCCGTGTTGATGTTGCTTTTCGTTGACTTAGAACTCTCTAGGGCTTACCTGCTTTATAAATGTACTTACTCATTCTTAACTCCACAGCAAGTGTTAGACTTCTCATGGTCAGGAGCAAAGTGTCTTTTGGCTTATTTTAATTTAACTAACATGTGAGGAGGCCATAGCAAAAGTCATCGGTTATTACTTTTTATCAGCAGGTATTCATAACCCATTTTCTTATTTGAAGGTATAGTGCCATTTGTATATGGAAACTACCCCTCAACTCCGACCATCTTCCCTTGCCTGTATTGCATCCATTAGTTAGAACAAGTGTTGCATGGGCAGACTAACCAGTAACACCATCTCAGCACTTAGTGGAAATTGTCTTGGATAAGAATGAGCAAAATATCTCTCTTGAGTGAAACGTGAACATGCGAAAAATGGCTAGAGAGTGAATTGTCATTCTGTGGCATTGCTAATGGGATCAGCAAGGTTATTATGAAATCTGCTGAGATTGCTGTATTCTTAATAGATTGCTGGCAATATTTAAAGCAACAAAGGGACAGAAAATGGACCTCAGTGCTGCACATATGTAAAATATGTCTATACGGGCTAAKCATAAGATTTGTTTCCTAAGTGTTGTGAAAGATGACTAATGCGGTTATGTTAGCCTGCTTTGTTGTTGGAATTTCTTCTTGTGAAAATATCTTGTCTGTCTTGGTCAAGTCAGGAAAACAGCCAAGCATGTGATTTTAATAAGTCTTACTCATGTCCTTATGGATAAAAATATTTCATGCCGGTACCTGCTGATTGAGGGTGGAATATATTGGAAGTGACTCCACTGTTGTTCCTTAACCTTTATCCTGTAGGATTCACTGTATCTTAGGCTAACATCTTATTTTGCAAGATTAGTGCACTAGAAATGTATAACTTAGAAGAAATACAGTGAATTATGGAACTTTAAGTGTTTCTGCTTACCAAATAGCATTTTTTTCAGGGCAAACTCAGGTCATAGAGAAAGTAATTTGTCATTCACATTGTTTTAAGGAAAAAGAAAACTGGATTCCTTACGCATTTCAAGCATGAAAATGATTGTATGTTACATTTATGGATGTTTAAGAGGTTATTCAACATGTAGTTGAACCCATCTGTGTTACTAGTATGCTTGAATTCTGCTTAGCTTGATGAAAAGGACCAGTGTACAGGGCCTGCTAATTCATTAAAGTCCAGATATGTTCCCAGTGGCCCTGGTGAAGTAACTGGTGTCTTCCTGTCCTTTTGTTTAAATACCCTTAGGCTTTCCATCTACTGTAAATATTTGTGAAACACAAGCGTGTTTCTGARAGTATCTATTCTCAGCTAGTTTTAAACTGCAAGTCTTAAGGTCTGTTTTCTTTTGACAGACCTTTTTTTCTTTTTTTTCCCCCCTCCTAATTCCCGCCAACAATTTCTTAAAAACTTGATAATGATTTTCCTAGTGTTTGTTTGTGGGTTTTGAGAATCAATGCAAACCATATGTTTCAGTGAGGTTATGTGACAATAGTCTTTTCCTTTATACAAAACCACACAATTTTCAATTTCAACACATTTCTGCAATTAATACTTAAATCTACATTTTCCCCCTTCCTCTCTGCTTTATTTGTTATATTAGGAGGATTATTTGGAAAATTAAAGTAATGGGGTGGAGATTGAAGATACTGTCTAGTTAGAGCTATAGGGCAAGCGATGAAATGTGAACTCTCTCCTTTTTCCCAAGCAAGGAAACCTGGGAAGATGACTGCCCCTGGGGAAGGAGATAATTTAATTTCCATTCATGTCAGCTTTYGTTTCTCCTCAGCAGAGAAGCAGCAGATTTGTTTCAAATTCTGTGGAATCAGGTGTTTTGCTGTGGCGTGTCATGGGAACAAGGTCAGACCACCAGGTTTCCTTTGCTCTAGACCCTTGGGTGGGCATGAAACCAGGCTGGGTAATTTAAAACAAAAGATCTTTCCTTCTAAACTGTCCAGTTAACCTGTATGGTTTTKACTTTGATTGTCTCCTGAAGAAAATAAGGTAACAAACCACCTCCAGAAGGACAGGAAACAGAGGAAAGATGARCAGGATGGAAAGGCACAGAAATCCCAGTCCTGCTTGGGATTATTTGCTCCTCTGCAGAGAGGGCATAGCTCCCCCTGACAGAGGAAGTAAAGCTGGTGGACCTATAAATGCAAGCAATTTACTATTGGTCACTGACTTTTTAAAAGGCAGCTGATTAAGGGGGATAAAATACTAGCAGTACTACAGGGTTAAGGAGACTGCTCCTGAGGGCCTGTTTTCTTGAGGAGAAGCCTGTGAGGTGGGTCCTGTGACACGGTGGCACAATGGCCAGGGTTGCATTGCTTGATTGTATATGACTGTCAGCCTTATAAATGGCTGATGTCCTTGTAGCTTCCTCTTCAGCAGCGAAGAGGTCTGGAGTTACAAACAGGCTAAGGAAAACTGGGAAAAATGGAAAGACTGTTACGAGGCTTTGAAGCATGTGATTACTGTTAAAATTGGTGAGACTTTTATATGTGAAGAAACTGCTGCTTTTTTTCTGAACTAACAGGCTATATTTTCTATGTTTTGCTCTTAATAAACAGAAGGCGGCCACCAAACAAGCTGTCTGGAGGCCCCCTCACACCTTTCCTCACTAGTTCCGCTGTGATGTTCAGCTTTGCAGCAGTTCTGTTGTGAAAGGGGCCACCAGAATGAAGACACTTACCTCAGCTGGAGCAAAGCAGTCTGACAGCTGAGTTGACTCCACCTCTGCAACTTCAAGGTAGGAGGCCTGCATAGGTGGATAGCACAAATACCTAACTTGAAGGGGTACTCCAGTTAAACGTGTTCCCCCAGGAGCTAGAGAATAGTTTGGGCATCTCTTTCTCGTCTTTAAATAGAACCTTGCTACGCAGTGAATTGTCAAATAATCCTGTTCCCCCTTGCATTTTTTTTTCCTTTTGGTACTCCAACAGCCTGTTYGTGGGAACTGATGCAGAGAATAACTTAGATCAGAAAGAAGAAACAAGCAAACAAATAAAAAAGCAGAAGAGCTTAAAGGCAGCTTGACTGGAAGGATTTTTTTTTGCCTTACAAAGGTAGTATGCAGTAGTTTGCTGTGTTTGTACCAGTAGGATTCCAGTGTTCAGAAAGCACCCAGGAGCTGTGAAGCACTGAAGTCCTGTTGTACATTYGATACAAGATCCTAACAAAGTGTGCTTTTAGAACAACTGCCAAAGTGCAGTTTTGGGTGTAATGTCTCCTTAACCATCTCAGCTTTCTGTGACTTGTGCATCTTGAAAGAACTGTTGGTTCTATAGAAAACTGCAAGGTGACCAAAGCATCTTCAGTGTGCAGCTTTTATGCTGGGTGCAGGTCTCAGCCTTCCCAAGTGTGATCTAATCTGATATCACCTTGAAACTATACTGACAATAGGGACACTCTGTGGTGTACTTTTTCTACCCCCCCGCCCTTCTAATTTCCTGGGAATATATCTCATATGGAAACTTATGAATAGAATTCACAAAATACATATTAAAATATTTTATTAAAATGCTGCTGGAGACCTGTAACTGCCCCCAGGCACAATACAATCATACACGTGTACTGGCAATCAGCCAGGTAGCAATAACTTGTTACACTGGAAACATATGAATATGCTGAGATCAGGTGATCAAAGCAGTGGCTCTTGTGTACCACTCAACTTTTTGGCTGTACCTGGACAAGCCATGGGATCATATTTTGGACAGTTTACTCAGAACTGCAGGACTGGRATTTACTGTCAATATTCGCACTCAAGCTTATGCTCTGGGTAGTAGAGTGACAGTGTAGTAGAGTGATGTTAGTCAGGACAAAGGAGTTATCAGAATATTCTAGTTGGTGCCAGGAAGAAGCTTTTCTCATGGCACTAGTAACTAGCTTTAGTAGTTTTGATCTGAGTTAATAACTTTGACCCTTCAGCAGTAGGGTGTGTAGTCTCACTAGGCATCTTCACTTGTGGGCAAAGGACTTGAAAAGGTGGCTCAGGTTTTCTTTTTTAAGGTACAGTGAGATCATAAAATCCTGTGAAGYTTTGCTTTTCCACTTGCCACATAGTCATATGAATGCAAGCCAGTGTAAGCTCCCACCCCAGAAAGAAGGGAAAATTACACACACACRCGCGCGCGCACACACACACACATGGATTAGGGTTGGAAATACTGAAATTGGCAGTATGTTTCTTTGGCCTTATAATGGTGTCMTCAGAAAAAGAGATCAAGTTAGATGTTTTGGCCACCTTGAGGAAGTCACCCTCAAAGAGGGTATGTGAATGATGTTTCATTTCTTTGTTACCATCTGTGTGCATACTGAATACCCACTGAAGTGAGGTTTGATCTAATTTTTGTGTAATTATAATTGTGACAGGAACTGGACTTTTTTGTAACTGAAACTTCCACAGGTATAAAGCTGTGAGAGCAACAATTATTTGAGCAGAAATCTATTCTGATGAAAATGCTCAATAGAGATACTAGATGCTACTAGATACTAGATGCTACTAGATTAGATTTTAGAGTATGTAGAGCATTTAGTTTCATTAGCCTTACACAATGTGCTGTTTCATAGCTAGAAAGTCTACTTGCAGGAAACAAACACAACAAAAATGTCTGTTCATTTTTATTGTGTATAACAATACTTTCACAGGTATTGTTATTACACAATGGTAAGTGTGGAAGCCATTGCAAGAAATTTGAGATAAAGTGATGAAACCTTACAACAATATTAGACATGGGATGTTTTTGCTGGTTKTTTTGTCATCTTAAAGCACAGAGGTTGTAGATGCATCACAGAGGGAAAACTCCCTTTGCTCTTCCTCCTACTCTGTCCAAAAATGGATGTGTTGCTGGAATACTGCTTGAAGCAGGAGATCAGAAGTACTGTGTGCAAATCCTTTGCGTTCACCTATGTATTGGGAAATGCAAGACCACAGCATAAAATATTGTTGTTCGTGCTTGGCAAGAGCTACGCTGTTGAAGATTACTGCAGATTCCACACCTGAATATGTAAAGAGGGAAACAAATGCACAAGTGAAACCCCTTGAGACCAAGTTGCCTGTGCTCCAAGACTGGCAGAACCAATTGTGTCAACCAGGGAGAGTGCCTTTTAGGAACTTGGCTGCCATCCAGTCAAAGATGTAACCCCGTTCTACATCAGTTGTAGTGTCAGAATTTTCTGTCTCAGGAAAGTATAAGACATTTCCCAACTTAATGACAGAAAATGCAGCATAATTGAAGAACGGCATATATATTCCTTAAATTTCAATCTAATACACAGCATCACTCCTTTTGTCAAGTCACATGGTAGGAAGGTGTTTTGGTCTATAAAAACCACTTTTCTGTCTTTAAAAAAAAAAAAAAAAAAAACCCTAACCTGTGTTAGGTGGTAGAAAAGGTATGTGCCCCTAAACCGTTGTTATGAGGCTATGTAGGCGTCTCGTTATAAAAAGATACTGCAGAATCAGGTAGGTGCTTGTGGGAGCAGAGTTCATGGTCATTCTGCTGGTRTCACAGTAATGTTACATGGTGAGTGGTACCTCAGGCAACATATGGTTGTGCTGGAGTTCTTATGTCTTTGACTAACCTTACTATTTTTATTTCCCCTAAATCTCTGTGAGAGAGATTTGTTTAGAAGCTTTTATTCATAATTCACATACTTAATCTGCTTTAAATACATGTTCTTYCATCTCTTACCTCTAAAAGAAAACTGTTCAGATACAGCACATAATGCAGCTACAGCATGACAGTGAAATAATTTTATAGATGTATGAATGGATGCCTATGGCGATAACTGCATAGTAATAAAGCAAATGTGTTTTGAAGCTACCTGCAGGGGAATTTTTTAAATAGACATGRGTTTTCTCGTGTCCAAAAAAGTCAATGAGTGATCTGTCTTAATGTAGGGAGAAATTTTCTGAGTAGTTTTCTGAGTATGTATGATAGCAGTGTGAAGAAAGATCATGCTGTGACCACAAAGGATCATGTTTAAATCAAAGATCTTTCCCAGAACATTTCCTCTGTGAATTGTTCTACATCTAGGAGTGTTTCTTGTTGACCACCTGTTTCTTTCCCATTTGGCCATGCTTGAAGGCCTGCAGTTTAACTTAGCAGAAGGGTATTAACCCTACTGAGTTCAGTAAATTTAAATCTCATGCTTCAGATGTCTGCTGTCTTCCAGGAAGTTTAGATTGACTTGTATTTTGACCAAGCCCTGTATTTTGATGAAGCACATAGATACACTTCAGGTGTTTAGACAGATACTGCAAGCAAATATATGCTTTAATGGAAGATCTTCAAAGTTCACCTTTGTTTTTACATTATTAAATCATTTTAATGATTGGTAAAGTGAGCAAACTGTGGTATGAAGGTGGTGTAGAGCTGTAAGGCTTGGTTTGCCTCACTGACTGTTGTGTACTTCAGTTGTTGAAACAGAAGTCTGCTTTTTGGGTTTGCCCGTAGCTGTTTAAAGTTTGAGTGAGGGCTCTTTGTATTTCAGTTTCCAGCTTTCTGTAAAACTCGTTCCACAGAAACTGTCTGAGACTTTCCATTGTTGGAAAATACTGGATATTTCTGCTCTATCTTACTGAAGGTGTATGTTACCATGTCCGGTTTCTTTTTTACTTTAGAAAACAAGGCTCTCAAGACTGGATTTCTGTGAAATAGACCTTAAAGGCATGAAGATCATAATTACTTGCTTTTGTACATAATGTATCAGCTCTTATATTCTCTCTAGAATTTGCATAGACAGGGATCTGTTGGTCTTCTGAGACCTTCTTTATTTGTTCTAGAACAAAATTTTCTGTTTTTCTCTCTGCTTGTGAAACAGGCCTTTTCAGCTATACTTTCACATTTGTCCTTGTTGACAACAAAGCACACGTACAACCCCACTTTTTAGAACCTGCAACTTGAGTGTTGCAGGTGCAGAAGGGAGTACTGGCCATTCTCTCAAGTACAAAAACAACAGTTTTGAAACGAATATGTAGAATGTACTTAAGTATTGACTATAATAATATATAACCACCTGTAGTGCMGTAGGAGGCTAATTGCTTGGAGAAATAAGTTAGAAATCACAAAGGTAATAAAAGTCACACTTTGACACACTTCAGACATCTTTCATTTGACCTCATTTTTCATTTTGAAGGATTTGTATTCTGTGTCTCTGTTTAGCCATTAAGATAATAATTACTTGAGTTGGAACATCCAGTTGAGGGTAGGCACATAAGGAGGAGGGGGGCACTGAAGTCTTAGAAAGGACAGTAAAACAGTTATCATAGTGAATTATGTGCACTACAGAATGGTCTTTGTCAATAAAAGGTAGCTGATGGCAAGTGCCTGAAAAAATTAATTGACCTGACTTTAAAAAAGTGATCCACAGAGACATGCTACAGCTTCTCCTGTTTGCTTCCTAGTGAAAAAACAGTTTGTTCATGGTTGTAAATGATGGCAAGCCCTTGTGAAGGGGCACTTGCTCTGCCCCTTCTTTTGTGCAGCTGTCTAAATGGAATCAAAACCCAAGTGACTTGAGCTTTATGTTAACTTCAGGTCTAAATGAAGATGCACCATTAKGTTTTTTGGTACCTTACAAAGGGTCCTGCAATACTTGGAACKAGAAACCATGTAGCTGTTCTCCTGATTCATTTTGAGTTTCTGAGCTAAGCCTGGGAACCTAATATCCAGTTGAAACTGTGTTTTATGTTTAACACCTGATATGTGTGTCATGCTTTTTCCTCAAGGGTAATGACTGCTTCTTATTTACTACTTCAGAGTGGATAATTAATTAACACGGGTGAGAATGTACACGTTTGACTAGACCCTCAAAAACCATATAGGTGATTGCTGGGATTGAATAACATTGTTTTTGTGTCGTAAAACAGCCTTGAATTGGGAAAGTGCTATTGTCCAAGGTATGTGCTAAAAGTTTTATGAGTATGCTGTAATTTATTTTTATTATGAATAGTGCTTCTCTTACTCTGCTTG